TCTACGCCCATCATAACCCAGCAACTTCAGCTGAAGAACTGCGGAAAAGGATAGAAAATGCTTGTCAATTCATCTCCCCTAACTCTATCGCTCTGAGCACCGGTGGTTCAAAAGAGCAAATCTTTTCATTTTTCGCAAGGTGGTTCGAACATGGAATTTAATTAATAAATATCAAACCAAACGACATTTTGTCGAACTTTTTGACTGTCATTTTTTAACTCATTTAAAATTCGATTGGACCATCCTTTTCAGCGTAAAAAATCCTTTAAAATGATCTGTCAGGATGCGTAGGGTCGTTGAACTGGGCCTGAGGTACCCTGTCTACTTTCACTCCAAAAAAGGTAAAAATTTGAAACTAGACTGAACAATCTTAAATACGTATTTTTTTATAGCGTCATTGCTTCAAGTGAAATTCATCCGGGTCATCTAAAAAGGATACCCTGTAGAGAAGAACTGACATAAACACTCCATCAAAAACAAAATAGTTAAATACAGCTCAATAGTAAGACCAAAATAGACATAAGGTGTAAAACTTTGTCGTTCAACAAAGCTTTCTCATCTTCGCAAAATACAGGTTCTACATTCCTTAGGGATTACCTATCCTTAGATACCTTGGCAACGACATATTCTGTTTTTTGCAAAGATAAACGTTCATTCAGTTATGAAAAATTCCTAGCTAACCTCCCACTGTGGAGTTTATTCAATCAACGTAACGTAATTTATTAACTCCAAGAAGTATGGTGGTTGTAATTTATCGTCCCTCGCGTAAATTGTTCCTTTAAAACTAAATAAATTATAATGAATTTCCAAAGCAGGTTAAAATTTGGAATTTCGTTATGAACTTCCAACAATTCGTACGAATGAATTTATCATTGAAGAATTTTTTTATTGGCAATAAACTACAATTATGTCAAATATATCATGGTTTATAGGTTAGCGTATAACGATGACAAATCCTTTACTCTATTATTTAAAACCTGATTAATTTTCGTTAAAGAGAAATTCAATCATTTTTGTACACGTCAACTGCATTTCACACTGTCTTAAAAAATCGTCGATTTTTAGTAATTTGTTATAAGAACAACCACTAACAAATAATACGATTAAAAAAACTCGATTAATTTTTACAGTTGGGGCGGGGGTAAAAAATCCAAAAAGTCGTCATAGTGGCATTGAAAAAGCGAAAGAAATGTCATGCTGTATTGTTGAATTTTGCAACAAGACTAAACTCTTTTACCATCTAACGTAACAAAAAAAAATTGAAATTTTTATACATTTTAAAATTGAAATGGTGATAATTGGAGAAAAAAATAAACACTCACCGACATGCAAATCTCAACAGTGATTTGGCGTATGTTTCCGATAATTGGTGTCATGGTCATCCCCCCAAAATCGGCGTCATTTTACAAAATAGCTTCAAACAAACTCGAAATGGATTACAACGATAAAAAGGTATTTAAAAAAAAAAACTTCAAACTATTTGAACGCCGACCTTACAAAAAACCCTTTACTTACCATTATAGAACAATCTACATTTCCTTTATAAAATGTATTATTTATGCCAGTTAGCAATCGTTGTATTACATTTTGTATTATTTGAGGTTCTGATTTCAGTTTAAACGACAAGTTTAAATAAAAACTTTAACCTTTTATTTAATATGTGTATACAATGGAAATTTGTTTGAATTTTATTAAATATTTTATTTCAAGGTGATCGAGATAATGAGAAAATGTTTGCAAAAAGAAAAACAGACACAAAACAGTAATGTTCAAGAACAATGTAGAGTGTTTACTGTGTCTACATCGTTGTATGTTAGTCTATTTTTACAAATACTAGACCCTGAAAAATTTTTGTATCTTGTTATAGATTTTATACAACTACTAATATACAACTGCAAGTGTCTGTGTGTGTAATAGTACTTGACAACTTATTGGCAATCAAGTCCCAGCGTTAATTATTAGGCAAGTCAACGGACAACCAGAGAACATTTTAAGTGTTTATCTTATTAAGCCTTCATTTTCAGCCTCTCATTATTTAATTACCCTTTGGTTTAAAATTTTATTGTTTTTTTTTCATTGAAATGCAATTTGAAATATATTTTGAATAGCTGTTTTTAAGCAGGATTTAGTGGATAAATATTTAAGAGATGTAACTAAAAAAGATTTGTCAGGCTTGGCTTGGTTTAGTCAGATTTTTCTTTTTCTCAAGAGAATAAAATTTAAGAACCGAACTATTTTGACTTTAACAAAAAAGGTTAATAGTCACATTACCGGATAGCATTAAATTAATAACGAATTCCTATTTACATCCTCTAAATTTTCATCATCCAGTATAGGAAGTAGTATTTGGTAAAAATTACACTAAATTTAACTTTTTCTGTTATGTTTAAAAAAGCATCTAAGAACTGTAGAATTCAGAAAAAAAGCTTCAACAATTAAGTGCCGTGCAGCTTGATCAATAAACGAACATTTATACATCCCTATAATGAATTTATATCGATTATTGGGAACCAGCACGATAATATCGTAATTTTGTAAACAAAATCAGGGATAAGGATAATCTGAACGAAAGGAACAGCCCAGTACAGCAAATTAGTTTACTCAATGTCTGCCGAAAAATGAACATATGGGCATGGAACAAATGGAAAGAGATGACTACTGGAAAAATTAAACAGGTGCAAACCCACCAAAAAATTTTGTAAACATCTCAACCAAGATAAAAAACATCTATCTTAATTTCCGCAAGCAGGAATTGAAGAAAATAATAGACTTCCTATTGCCCATTTAAATACTCAGTGTCACGAGCGGGATTCGAACCCACCATCTTCGGCTAAATACGCCGCTGCTCTACCACCGAGAATCGAATTGATAACAAGACATTTGAAAAATGGCAAAAAGGAGGGAAAATTCGAAAGGTGGGATTGAGGTGGGAAGTTAGTGGTGGATGGAAGTCACGATAGCTCAAGTGGTAGAGCAGCGGCGTATTTAGCCGAGGGTCGTAGGTTCGAATCCCGCTCGTAACACTGACTTTTTTTATCTCAACCAATACCTTACATAAAGATTGATTAATTGAAAAAAGACATTCACGGTCAATCGGACCACGAACTATAACAGATTCCATGCAATGTTTTTGCAGTATTAATTTCTTACTCGTTATTGTCATAAAATCAGATTGACTTGATCAATCTGTCAATGATAATTCAGCTTAACATTTAAAAAAGATGTTCCCTAATCTAAAACATATACATTGCATTGTTTAAAACTAGAGTTTATGCTGAAACAAATCTTGGTTAAATTATTTTCATTGGATGCGTATTTTTACAAAAGACTCGTATCTTAGTACTTTGAAACCATGTATAATAAAAACAACACTAATTCTTTTTCCAATCGAATTGTTTTTGGTGCAACAGAAAATATCATGTTAAATTATTTCAAATTATTTTCAATTAATTAAGGTTTTGGTTGAAAAGAATTTATTTGGTCAAACGGACCACGAAAGCTAATAAAAATTATTTCAAATAACGTACAATTTTAAACATTTTTAATTTCAATTCGTCGGCAGGTGAGTGATTCCAACTCAAACGTCAAACGCAGTTGACCCTCAGATGATATAGTTATTTTTTTTGTTAACAACTTTCAAGTGTTTAAGTGTTATGTGTTATAGTTGATCTATCAGAACGTGTAATTCCATCGGTACTGATCATCCTGGTATCTGTGTTTGTCTGTCAACCTTTTCGTCTTCTTCTCTTTATGTCTCTTTTATAAAGTCTGATAGGTGGGAGTGATATTGGTGCCTCTGATTGTTAAAGCCTCTTTCTTTGGTTTTTTAATTGATCAGGTCGGTATTGTAATGAGCTATCTTTGAATTTTGTATCCAGGTTTTTATTGCTGAATTAATTATGTTTGTATATTGACAAGTTTTTAAGTTTTGTTTATTTTTGTATTATTTCTGTTTGTAGTTAGTACATTATTGTTTGTCATGGTCCTTAACGGTTCTATTACTGTTTTTCTTGTGTTTAATGCTGTCATTTTGTATTGATTCGACTATGCTTATATGTTTTGGGTCTGTTGATTTTCTGTAAATATAAAATTGTGCTTCAGTGTCGATTTTTGTGATTCGTAGGTCCAGGAAGATTATATTGTGACTTTTTTTGTTATGTCTTGAACTATATATTTTTTAAAATTTATTTTCAGGTCTTTCGCTTTATTGTTCATGGCTGTTGTAGATGTATGTACATAGATCATAAATAACTTCTGTATTTGCATACTTTTAAGGAAGTATTTTTCTTTAAAGTTTTGTAAAATTCGTATTTTTTCAGCTGAATTGCCGTTTGAAAGATGTTTATTTATTAAGGTTAGGGATTTATTTCATTCTCGTTTTGTTTCAAATTATTGTCCGTATGCGCGAAATCTACTAATTTTTCAAGCCTTTCGTTTATCAGAGACAGCCCCAGCAGGATTGACTTAATGGCCAGGCAATCCAATTCGAGGGCCCTGTTATGATTTAATTATCTAATGAAACCCTAATTGGGTGATGGTCACATTATTCTGATTTCACGGAAATCATGGTTTGATTCGTTTTTCTCAGATCTAGCTATAAACCGTATGATTCTCTTTTGGTTGCATTACTCCGTCATTTTACCGACGAAATTATATTTATGGCTGAAGGATTGATGGAAATGTTCTCACGGTTGAATGCCGAAATAAGGTCAACGGCTAGGTTCTCTATGCGGATTCTGCGGAGTTCCCATTTAATTACTTTATGCGACTTCTCGGATATAAAGTTTCCAGGGAGGAAAGGGCAAAGTGTTTTTCCACCGCAGACTACACTGGCTGAATGATATAGAGGATGTAAATGGCGGTTAATTATCTTGCATTCCTTCCCGAAACTTTTACGAGGTTTAAAAAAAAATCAAATTCGAGAAACCGAAGCCTGATCGGTCTTTTAAAGCCTGTCAGCTTAAAGGTGGGTGGACGATGAACTGAAAGAATTGCCTTACCACGTCTATGATCTGCATTAGCGTCAGTCCAAAGCTGAGTTGAAGAGGATCCGATTCGTTAGCTACGGGGCGCTCTAGAACATTATAGTGGTCAAGAAGGGTGTGGAGCAATCGTTTTTCGTGGGGTCCCTGCTCTGAGTCTGAAAAATAAAAATTGAATTAATTTAAAAACCATCAAGTAAACCATAAATTATAAAACAGTGTTAATGATAACAAGTAGTAAATAGTTTAAAAGTTAAAAAATCTAGAATCTTCGGGCTATTTATTTATATCCTATATTTATTTACATTTTAAATGTTTTTATGCTTAACATTTACCACAAATAATCTGGATCTCGGTCTGGTCTGAATTTAAAAAAAAATTACTTGCCAAGCTTTCGACCTATTTTTAGGTCATCATCAGGGCAAACAATCTTAACCATTGACATAATTAAGTTTTTAATTGATGACTTCAAATTTCTTGGAGGATTGTTTTGTCCTTATGATGGCGAATCTATCTTCAATGAAATTTGACGCCATCTAATAAATACTCAATTATGTTAATTAGTACACATCTGTAAGTTTGGTTTGCCGTGATGATGACCTTAAAGTAGGTTGAATGCTTCGCAGATAATAATTTTATTTGTTAGTAAAGAAGTGGTCGATACATCAACCACTTTAAACATTATCATTTTACCAAAGACAGTGGTATGTTTACAGGTCAACGAGCCGAGAGTCTGACAAGACAATGCTGAATTCAGAAAAGGCATCAAACCATGGTGTGGTTTGGAATTGTTGATTAAACCCTCGTTCTAAAATTTTTTGGAAACCGGGGCGTGTATTTGATGTTGCCAAATACGTTTTCCCCGGTTCTAGAATTCCAGAGGAAGAACATCAAGATCAAACTTTTGTTTGGATTTCTTATCAAAAAACGTAACAAGTACACATACACAAAAACAAATTTGACTAAATATATTATTTGAATGTATTTAATTTTCTATCCAAATTCAAACTACCAAACTTACAAAAAAAATTATCCTCGTTTTTGGTTAGTTTCTTATGTTATTTGTTTAATTTGTCAGCTCCTTCTGTGAGTTCTATACAAGAATATATTATCATTTTGAACAGAGACATTTGAAAATCAAGAGATATTTTCTTCAATGGCTGTAATTACTTGAATTTTCGTAAAACGTTGTGGAGTTATCAATTTTTCAATGGAAGACCGGACATCTGAGAAAAAAATTACTTCAAACTGCCCAAAAACTGTATTTTTTGCTTTAAAAATTCAAATTTAAGAACTTTAGAATGCGCTTAAAACATTTTCGGAATGTTTTATCAAAAGAACATTTTTTCAGTCTGCTTTAACGGAAGCTCTTTTTTTTAAACGTTGTATTATATATAATCTCATTTGGTTCAATCCTACATATTATTTTATCTCTATTGGGTTTGTCCGGAAAATAATGCAGGTTTATGGTTATAAAATGAAAACAATGAAATAAATGATTTTAAATATTTTTTATTAATAAAATAACCTCCGTCAATACACTTATCCCCACGTGATGGCCGCTTCTCTATACTCTCGGAAAAAAAATGTTGAGCTTTTATTATTAATAAATTCTGTAAAGGTGTCTGAAAAAATGTTAGTCGATATACCAGAGGTCTGGAGAATGGGGAGGGTGAGGCAGAACTTCATAACCAAGATATAACAGTTTTGGTGTTGTCATATGATACATGGGACCGAGCGTGGTCGTGTAACAGAATCGGCCTGTTCCAATCGACCAAAGATGACTTCAATAATGCCATTTCTAGAGCATTGCTTCAATCCGAGAGCAATACATTTCGGCATTAATTGTATTGTCATAATTCAACAAACTGTAGTAAATCAGCCCAAATGAAGCACACCAAAGAGTCACAATCACATTTTTTTGATGAGTCGGTGTCTTTGAAAAATGAGCTGCTTCTTTTACTTTGTCGAGCACTGTCCAGTACGTCTGCTGTTATCGCAGAGACTCCACGTTTCATCACAAGAAACAATTCTATCCGGAAAAGGTTCGTTTCTGTTTCGGCAACAGTGTTGCGCAAATTTCATAACGATGATTTTTTTGGCGGTCCTTTTATGAGGAACCAGCTTTCGAGCTTTTTCACATTTCCACTTGCTTAAAGCCGAGAACACACTTACCCGATGCAACGCCATGCGACGCTACTTGATCAAATCCAAAGTCCAATTTTCCATAACATTGTATTACCCCCGTGCACATCTGCCCGATGCTAGGTTACGCTACCCTACTCTACTCACTGCCACTGCGATCCCCACTGTCCAGACTTTCGTCGGGTAGCATCGAGTACAGTCTAAGACAAAACAACCTAACACTCATATTTTTATTCAAACTACATGTATTATTGTCGTTAATTAATTACAGAAAACTTATTTTAAAATATACCAAATTAACCGAGAGCAAAAATTCTTTAGTTTTTATTAAAAAAATTAATTTTAATGGTTTGTCAACAAATTAATAAAAACGCAGGAACTCCATTTTTTAATATAATGAATTTTACTAACAATAATTATTACACGGTTTTGCTCATAAAATTTCACTAACAATTTATTTCATGGTTTTGCTCATAAAGTATAACGTCTTATTTTAATATAAACCAAATTAACTGAGATCAAAAATGTTGTAAAAATAAGTTTTTATAAAAATTATTTAATTGTGATGGTAAGGAAGAAAATTTATCAAAACACCGGAATACCATTTTTTGATATAAAGAATTTAACCAACAATTGATTACACGGTTTTGCTCATAAAACTTAACTAACAATTCATTTCATGGTAGCTTCAGAACAGGACACTCATATTTTTTGTAGTTTATTTAAAACTATGTGTATTTAATTTTGTCGTTATATTAATTACAGCATTCTTATTTTAATACAAACCAAATTAAACGAGATCAAAAATGCATAAGTTTTTATAAACAATTTTTAATTGTGATGGTAAGGAAGAAAATTTATCAAAACACCGGAATACCATTTTTTGATATAATGAATTTAACCAACAATTGATTACACGGTTTTGCTCATAAAACTTAACTAACCATTCATTTCATGGTTTTGTTCATAAAATTACATCAATTTCGTCGAGTAGCTTCCGAACAGGACACTCATATTTTTTGTAGTTTATTTCAAACTAAGTATATTTAATTCTGTCGTTATAAATATTAATTGTATAATGTCTTATTTTAATATAAACCAAATTAACCGAGATCAAAAATGCATAAGTTTTTATAAAAAATTATTTAATTGTGATGGTAAGGAAGAAAATTTATCAAAACACCGGAATACCATTTATTGATAGAATGAATTTAACTAACAATTTATTTCATGGTTTCGCACATAAAATTACACCATTTTTGTCGAGTAGCGTCAGAACAGGACACTCATATTTTTTGTAGTTTATTTCAAACTATGTGTATTTAATTTTGTCGTTATATTAATTACAACATTCTTATTTTAATACAAACCAAATTAAACGAGATCAAAAATGCATAAGTTTTTATAAAAAAATTTTAATTGTGATGGTAAGGAAGAAAATTTATCAAAACACCGGAATACCATTTTTTGATATAATGAATTTAACCAACAATTGATAACACGGTTTTGCTCATAAAACTTAACTAACCATTCATTTCATGGTTTTGTTCATAAAATTACATCAATTTCGTCGAGTAGCTTCGGAACAGGACACTCATATTTTTTGTAGTTTATTTCAAACTAAGTATATTTAATTCTGTCGTTATATTAATTGTATAATGTCTTATTTTAACATAAACCAAATTAACCGAGATCAAAAATGCATAAGTTTTTATAAAAAATTATTTAATTGTGATGGTAAGGAAGAAAATTTATCAAAACACCGGAATACCATTTATTGATAGAATGAATTTAACTAACAATTTATTTCATGGTTTCGCACATAAAATTACACCATTTTTGTCGAGTAGCGTCAGAACAGGACACTCATATTTTTTATAATTTATTTCAAACTATGTATATATAATTTTGTCGTTATATTAATTACAACATTGTTATTTTAATATAAACCAAATTAAACGAAATGAAACATTCACGAGTTTTTATAAAAATTATTTAATTATGACGGTTAGAAAGAAAATTTATCAAAACACCGGAATAACTTTATTTAAAACCATTGCAATTCGTGGACCGATTTGTTTTTATCTCAACCAATACCTTCCATAAATACTAATTAATTGAAAAATGTTTATTTAAAACAATTTAATTTAACTAACAATTTATTACATGGTTTTGCTCAAATTAATGCATTAAGAACAAAAGATGCGTTACGATTGTGATAGTGATTATTGTGATACAGGCTGTATGACTGTACGTGGCGTGCGCTTGGCGTCGCATAGATGTGCACACCCTACCAAAACGTGTCAAGGCGTCGGGTAGCATCGGGCAGCGTAGCATAGCGTTGCATCGGGTAAGTGTGTTCCCGACTTAAGGGGACCCGGGCAAATTGTTTTGGGTCAAACAACCAAAACTCTCTTATTTGCTTAAAAAAAAACTATTACCTATCCTGGATAATTTTATCAAAGAATTTTTAAAATCGTAGCACTACAAGTTCCTTAAAAAATTACATAATTAAGAATTCCTATACCAGGAGCGAGCGCCTTTTCTTATAACAGGAAAAAATTACCGAGTAATATAAATATGAATATGAATATTTTTATTCGTGAACAAGATTTACATTTTGTTTGAATACATCATATTTTACATTTCTAAGTATCTTCATTTTATTATTTTACATTTTTCAACTTCTGCGTTAAAAAATTCATTCAGAGTGTAAAATAGGTTGTTTTGTAGCCGTTTCCAAACTCTTTTTTTAAAGACCCTTGAAGGTAATGTTGTTATATGAACAGGCAGTTTATTAAATAGTCAACTCTAACAAATTTAAAACTATGACTAATTTTGGTGTGGTATAAATGTACAGGTTTATCACAGTCATAATTTTATATTTACAAAAGACTAATCTACAAGATTCTTTTCTTTTCAAGTAGAACATTATTCTTACACATCATTTTGAATAATAAGGACATCTTTTACATGAGAACTACTCCCCCACACTTGCAACCCATAAGGGCAC